CCCCGGTGATAGCCCCGGTGATAGCCCCGGTGATAGCCCCGGTGGCAGCCCCGGTGGCAGCCCCGGTGGCAGCCCCGGTGATAGCCCCGGTGATAGCCCCGGTGGCAGCCCCGGTGATAACCCCGGTGATAGCCCCGGTGGCAGCCCCGGTGGCAGCCCCGGTGGCAGCCCCGGTGATAACCCCGGTGATAGCCCCGGTGGCAGCCCCGGTGGCAGCCCCGGTGGCAGCCCCGCCGTCCCGTGCCCCCGCCCGCACCTGCGGACGCCACCCGCGCCGCCCGCGCCGCGGGGCCGCGCCGCCCGCCCGTGCCGCGGCGCTCCCCGGCCTCCCCGCCCACCGTCTTCTCCCCTCCCAGACAGGCACGGCCGAGGCAAAGCGGCGGGCGGGCGGCTGCCTCCGCCTCCCTCCCTTCTCCTCAGATGCCCTTTGCAGGGTTATTATTACAGTTCGTGGCTGCGCTCTGCCTTCCCCCCTCCGCGCCCGCCCCTCCGCGCTGCGCAGCGCGCTGGCCGCGCTCCCCGCCCGGGCTGGCCGCCGCCCAGCGGTGCGGGATCCCCGCGGCCCGGAGCCAGCGTGCCCCGCCGCCCGCACCATCGCCCCGCACCATCGCCCCGCTGCCCGCACCATCGCCCCGCACCATCGCCCCGCACCATCGCCCCGCTGCCCGCACCATCGCCCCGCAGCACCGCCCCGCTGCCCGCACCATCGCCCCGCACCATCTCCCCGCACCATCTCCCCACACCATCGCCCCGCACCATCGCCCCGCAGCACCGCCCCGCAGCACCGCCCCGCTGCCCGCAGCCGGCGCTGCCCCCGCGGGCCCGGCCGGCGGGGCGGGCGCTGCCCTGGGGCTCCCAGGCAGCGGGGGGAACGCGGGGCTGCGGATTATTGCAGACTAAGCAGTCTGGCGCTGCAGCAGCGTGCGGGGGGAGGCGGGCGGGCAGGGGGAGTGTGTGTGTGTGCGTGTGCGTGTGTGTGCGCGTGTGTGTGTAAAGGGGGCATGGAGCTGGCAGCTGGCCAGCTACCATCAGAATTAGCTCATTGTTCAATATAACCAGCGCTGGCAAGCAAAACCCAGCCCGAGAGAGGGAACGGGCGGAGGGGAGGCGGGGGGGGGGGGGGGGGGGGGGGGGGGGGGGGGTGAGAGAGAGACTTTCCCCCAGCCACCCCCACCCCTTTTTTTCTTTTTTTTTTTCTCCGAGGCTGCACTTTGGAAGAGGTGCAGTCATTCTTACCCACACCCCCTACCCTCTCTCCACTCCCCCAACTATAAATTCCCTTCTGTAGCATGCTGCCCTTTTGTAATCCACATTTGTGTTTCAGATCATGTAGAAAGGACAGAAAGTGAGCAGGGAGCGGGGGCTTTTGTCTGTAAGTATATGCAATTCCAATCCACAGAATTTTATTTTTTTTAGTTAATCCCCTTTCTCTCCCTCCCTCTCCCCCCTTTTCTGCTTTCTTCGCTCTGTGTTTCTCTGTTTCTTTTCATTTCTTTGTGATTTCTTTCTGTCCTTAGCCGGACTTTGCTGCAGCTTGGCTTTCCCCTCTCGGTGCACATTTCCAAACAGGCTTTTTTAAGGAAAACGAGAAAACGTGCAGTATATATGTCTAACTCTTTGTCTTTGTGCTTTAAGGCTGGATTTCTAGGCTGAGGATTTTTCTGTACGCATGCAAGGGGAGATGAAAAGTGATTTTCTAAAATATTTTCCTTTTTCTGGGTTTTTGAACCTAATGCACTTGGCTTTGTTAGCATGCGTGCAAGGCTCTAGGACAGGTTTATCATCTCCTTTCTTCTCCCTTGTAAAACGAATCTCCCTCTTCTCCGCCCTGACACTGGATTCCTCTCAGGCTGCTGGGGTTTATTTTTAGAAAGCAGTCATTCTTGCAACAGCCTTCTGCATTTTTGCATGTGCAGCAGTTAAATTTTGGGTGGTTCTTTTGAGAAGAAAATAACAAAAACAACAGAACAACAAAGCCAAAACAAACCATGTTTTGCTGAACATGTAGTGACATGCTACTTTTTTCAAACATTTCTGTTTATATTTATGGATATATGCATTTGCAGTTTTAAATCCTTTATGTGCGTGTGTATTTGTGTAAACATATGACTCATGCCTAATTATATTTCATACATACCTGCTATGGGTAAGAAATATGTAATCAATAGAAGAGAACTTTTAATTTTTGTTTCTATAAGAAAGCTGATAAAGGAGATATGCTACAAATTCAGCCCATTAAGAGCATGATAATTTAAGGTAAATGAGGTAGGACCTACTCTTCTTTTTTTTTTTTTTTCTCTCCCTGTTTAAAATAGGGGGTGTGTGTGGAATAGAGAGAGGGAGAGAACTGGAGGTTATGTAATGCAGTGCCATTTCCAAAAATACCTACTCTCTGGGCTGTTACATTGTGTTATACTGGTTCCTTGATTGCAAAAACCCACACTTAGTAGTATGCCTGGGAACAATGGACCACAAATTACAGTAAACATAGACTGACAGGTTTTTGTCCTCCTGACTGATTTCTACCTTTATTTAACCATTATGTGTGGGGCTCTTCAGAAATATACCTAGGGCTAAGAATAGCATGAGGTTCTGCAAATCCAGGTACCGGGGATTCCTTTGTCCTATATTTAAGCCTACAGACCACTGAAGTGCAGAGATACGTGATATATAAGCATATGTGTGGTTAGAATAATTTGCATGACTTTAATCTTAACCACTGAAGCTTATATTTGGTTCACACACTGTTAGACTGGCAAATAAATATAATTTAACTATTGTGACAGTTGGAATTACTTTTTTTTTTCCATTTTTAATTTTTTAAAAATTGTTTTCAGATTGTTCTCCTTGTGCTACTTGAGAGAAACTGCAATCCCAAGACTTAACAGAACCTAAAAATGGTAAGAATTAGTTGCTTTAGCAGAGTATCAATCATTTTTTGTGTCAATACAAACCTCATTTCCCTCTTCCCAATATTAATTTATAAATAGGACCTTTATATGACATAGTTTTTGAGGCTATGAGGACTTGCCATACAATAACTGATGTATTCTGAAAAGCTCCTTATGCTGGATCTTTTATTTTCTTGCATTTTTTGAATAAAAATCTGAAATCCGTCTCTGTGCAGTAAGGCTTATTTAATTGAAACAAGAAATATTTAAGTTATTGTGAAAAATACACATCATAACACATGTAGCAATACATGCAGACAAAACAATATCCAGTAAGGCCAACACTGACATCTTTCTCCCAAAAAGAAGAAATAGGTCATTGCACTTCGTAAGTGAAAAAGATTTAATGTCAGTCTGTCAGGGAAGTACATAAGGTGCAACCTAAATTTTCTTACTAGGTTAACCTCTGAAAACACTACCATTCTTTGTGACACAGATCTGTTCTAGAAAAAAATGTTTAGGCCTCAAACCTGACTGAACTTACAGGCACTTGTTTGGAATGTGTTTAATGAACAGCAACCTCTTTCCTTCAGTGCTAATTGTGTTTCTATTTTTATTTATTAAAGCCAATTTTTTTATATTCTGAGATACCACTACTGACAAACTCCTGATTTTAAGGATATGCATGTAAAAATGGTATTCTCTGAGAAGGACTGTCTCAGATTCAGGAGAACAAAGGTAACAGTATTTTTTTTTAGAAAACGTGCTCAAAGTAGACAGATTTTGTTCACACAGTTTTTAATTCTTAGCTGAAGATGCAGCTGTCTCAGAATCATATCTAAATACATGTACTGGAAAAAAATGTGGTATATTTTGGATGCTACAGGATAAAATCATTATCAAACCTCTGTTAATTAGTATTGAGCAATGCTTTAAGTATCATTGCATAGGGTGTACATTAGCACAGAATATTTTCCCCAGTGTGAGGTTCTGAGGGACATACTCTTATGAAGATTGGGCTAATTGCATTAATGTTATCCTTGTCTGGTTCTTTGGGGTTGTTTAGATACTGGGGAGGAGAGATGATCAAAGAATGATTAAAATAAGCAAATATGTAATGTACTCTGTTATAAAGGCTTTGTTTTTGTTTTTGGCTCCTTGTTTTATATCATTCCTATCTGCAAAAATAAACTTGCAAATTCTGGAGTTTTAGTCTATTCTGGAACCTACTTTCATCAAAGTGCTTTGCTCATCTGTGTATAAATGAATAGATGGGGGTGGGGAATTAAAAGGGAAATGATTCACTTAAACTGTGAATAGAAATCATGCTAAAATACATGTTGTTCACACAACTGTGGAATATTGGATAAGGCAACTGTTTTCCTACCAACACCAAGGTGACAATCAGCCCACATTTTAGATCTTATGCAGGCTGCTATGTGCAATATATGCCTATCTATGGAACAAAAGATTATTTTAAGTTTAGTTAGGCATAAAATAGCCACTAATTTCTACCAGCAGATGGTTCTATAAATCTAGCAAGGTTCCTGTAGTAGTCAATGAAATCAGTTTTATAAAGCCAGTCTCTGGGCCAGGACATAAAATACAACTTAAAGCTATCCAAACACAAAAAATAAAATGTTGTTGCCCACCTGTCTAGTCCCATTGTTTGCTTTGTAGTGTAACATAATTACAAACCTCGTTTAACTGTTTTTAAAAGTTCCCCTTCTTTTTCTATGATAAAAAATAAAATGTGCAATTAGGTTGCAAGGATGTTTAAGATGTGATACTTGGCAGAATCCCTTCTTCTACCACCAGCCTTTTTTCTCCCTTTTTCACTTCTGGTATTCTAACACTGAATGTAATTCTAAGTCAGACCAGTGACACACTTTCCTTGCAGTAGTGGACACACTTGTCTTTGGCATATTTCTTCTTGTATTAACTGCAAGTATCTCTCTAACCATTCTGATTTACAGAAAATACTCTTTGCATATCAACACTTTCTGCACACTGAGAAAATGCTTACTTTGTTTTAATATCACAGTATATGCAAAGGCTCTACCCTGCTCTCACTGGTCAGTTGAAATTTAGCTATTGTGTTTCAGTAGACTGAGATGAAGTTAAAAAATAGGGGGAAATGTACTTCTTATTCCTTTGCCAGTCTGAAATTTCATTAATTATTTAGCTAAGCTTACAGTAAAATCTGAAATTACTAAAATAAACTTGTTCAGTGAGAACAAATGAGTTCTTGGTTTAACTTCACTGTCTCACCCTCTTAGTTTCTTAATTTTCTTTTCTCATAAAACGTTTCTTAAAATTTTTGAACAGTAAAAGCAAGTTATTTAACACATTAATTTTCAATGCTTCTTCTCCTTTTCCTGGACTTGGAATTAGAATTACCTGATTAATTAATCAGTCTTTCTTCCACCTGTTTAATAATAATATCCTCAATTTTAAATGCAACAGAAAAGCAGAGTGCACTATTATTCTTATAATTTTGACTCATGGATATTTTAAGCCATTTTACACAAAAACATTTGCCATTTGAAGGTCTGTCCTTACTTCTGCATAATGCGTTTCCTTTAAGTGTCTGTCTGAAGATGGAAACAGCCTTTTATATTTATGTGCAATGTATAAAATGCTGAGGTGACTTAAGTGGTCTTTATTTTGAAATTCTAGAACTTCTATATACTACCTTCATGGCAAGTGCTGAGTGTTATGAAATGTAAACTAAAATTTTACTTAATATTAACTAAAATTTTAGCTAACAAGGGGGGAAAAAATGTTCTAACTAAAAAAGAATTTTAAAAAAGGAGTGTGTTTTAAAGTTTTTTCCTGCCCCTTCCAATCATTGAAAGGGATCCAATCATTGAAATGAAGGAGCATGCTGAAAAATTGGGAGTTAGAAAGTCTTAATTCCAGTTTACTGTGATCTCAAAGAAGTCTCTTACCAAAATCAGGAAAGGGTTGGGTTTTGTGTAGTTTGTTTTTTTTTTGTCATGGTAAATATTAGTTTTTAAATAAAGAAATCAGATCATCATTTTAGACAGTTAGAGAAGTGATCTGTTTATTTGCTTTCAAAACACTCAGGTGTGTCCTTTTCTCCTTGTGTATTTTAAGTTAAGTTCTGGGAGCTCACAGTGATGGTGCTTAAAGAATTTAAAGTAAAAATGCTAATAAATGTGTATATCAGTAAACAGATCCTTAAAAATTTAATTTTGACTTTTCTGAAAGTAAATGGAAGATAATGTAGAGCAAATGATTAATTTTCTCCTGACTTACCACAAGGAGATGGCTTTCTTGTCAGCCTTTCTTATTGGTGTGGAGTCTCTGGGCTGGCTGTTGTACAGGGTAGCTGTGTCATCGCAGAGCAAAAAGGCTCTGGAAGTAGGTCATTTGGGCTGAATGCTTCCTGTCCTGCATCCCTGCCTGAACTGCATCACTTCTGGGGTTATCCTGTCATATTTTGTCATTTACAGTCCTTCTATTTTATAGTCTTACTTGGAGGAAAAGAGAAATAGGGGATGATGACCTTTAGGGGTGAGAGCAGTTGGGAGAGAAGCCCTTCTTTTTTAAGTCAGACGGAAAGAAAAGACAGCCTGCATTTTGTTGAGGAGAAAAAAGAATCACCATTCTATTTAGTTTTTTGTTTGCATGGGGTTTTTTTTCTTCTAGTTTGTAGAGGAATTTATAATATTTATTTGCTTTAGGTGAAGATATTTATGAAGAAAATTTTGTGTTTAAACTTTCATCCCAGTTTATCCTTTACTAACCTTTTTCCAGGGAGTTACATGCAGGTGTCTTTACACGTTCTGTAATTTTCTGTGCCCCTGGGCTAGAACAGCTTTTCATAATTTTAGGATTATTTGTGGAGAATGGAGTCTAGAATTGGTCTGGCAGAGGCACACATTATTTAGAATATTTTATATGCTTTCAGGGAAAACAAAACAAAACAAAACCAAACCAAAAACAAACCCCCAAAAAACAAGGTAATGAAATGAGACATTTTGTCCAGCCTATTACTAGATGCACACTGGACAAAAGCAGCTCTTGGTCTGGCATGTAAAAACTCAAACCTGGTTGATTATTACCAAGCCTGGTACTTGAACTGGAATTGGAGTCTCCTTTATGGTAAGTCCACACAGAACCTGCAGGACTGTCAGATTTGGTCAAGAAAAGTAATTGTGTGGGATGATAGCTAAATAGTTTTGGCCATCTGAACCTGTATACTGTGCTTTTTTATTATGCTTATGTAATGTGCATGTTATACATTGAGTGTAATTTGCACTGTGCTACTTGGTTGCTGAAACTCAGGAAGAATTAACGCTTTTCCAACTTACAAAGTTTATAAGCAGAAATACAAACTAGTTTTTGCAATACTTCTGTCAAGCCACCTGTTCAGTGGAGCAGAAAACAAACCTTTACTTGATTATAGGTAGAAAAGCAGAATTTTAAAATTAAGTAATTTTTGCCCAAATCTATAGATTCTGTGGATATTTTAGTGGCAGAGCTCATATGCACATGAAAAGACAAAAGTTTTTAATATACTTGTTTCTACTTAGTCATAAACATATTCTGGGTGCTAAAATTTTGCTACTCTGTCCCAGCATACTCTATGTGAATCGAGGTGTGTTGACACATGGAATGTGAGGTTTATGTAATACTAAGTCCAGGAAAAATCTTTACTAATTTTTTTCTCAGAGGCTGAAATTTTGGAAAATCAGAAATAAGAATACACATCTAGTAATGCTACAGCTATAACATAGGGGTTTTTTTAAGGCTTGGGGTCTAATGCCATCACTAACAATATTTTTTTATTTTTTTTCTGACTTTGCTATACTGCTGCTTCATAACTGATTTCTGATCACTGTATATGCTGAAGAGATGGGGAAAGGAGGACACTTAATAGTTCTAGAACAACTTTATAAACAGAATTCAACTGGCATCATTGACTGGACAGGATATTTTAATAAAAATAGTTTTATCGGTCTGTATTTTGGTTTTATTTCAAATATTTATTCACCTCATCTAACCATATTAATTGAGAGCATAATCTTCAAAGGTGCAAAAAATATTCTTTCCAAATGCTTAATGTAGATTTATAGTCTGAATCACTGTTTGAGTGTTACATGCAATTCTATTTGGACTTCTGGTCTGGCAAATTCACAATAGCAATACTGAATGAATCCTTGTGTACATGTTGCTGGGAGGATTCCTGATGTTTTCTTCTGTAAACACTGTATTAAAATAAACAAACAAACAAGTAAAAACAACCCACCCACAGAATAAATAGGATTTTCTCATCCTGCAGAAAGAAGTGTCTCTGGAAGAATTTCGTAAACGCAAAATTAACCTGTTTATCTCTACCAGCTTGGCATACTTAGGTGGAAGCAAGTTAAAAAAAGTTCTAAGAAATTTGTATGTCCTCGCTGGAGGTGGTAAAAACTTGCCTTTAATACACACATTATCAGAAAGAACTCCTGGCCTCCTCCAGCACTGACGTTTAGAAGGCACACATTGACACCTCAGAGCTACCTTAGAAAGGTCAAGTTAGAGAGGAAAAATCTTCTTATTTGCTTTAAAATGACTGCATATCTGTGACAAATCTCCATCACAAAAGAGTATGAGTTTACACAGCTCCTTAGATGAGTCCCAGAACCCAGAGATATTTTATTACTTTTAGCCCCCAGAACATCATGATGTATTTTGTGCTTTTGTGTCTGGAGTAGCACTTAGCTGCATTTACTATCTGCCTAGTAGAGGCTGGTAATAGGGAGGCTTCAGGTGAATGTACCACAGTGCTTTCAAGCACTTGTTAACAATCAGCTGCCCTCATTACATCTCTTTTATTGAGGTAAGTAAGGAATGGCTCTACAAGGTGGTCCTCTCCCATTTCCAAGAGTATGGCTGGGGCTTTTTAATACTTGCCTACAAAATGCTGCTTGGGGAAGGGCTGGCACCTTCTGAGGGGAAAGAAGGGCTCTGCATTTGGGGAACAGCATCCCTGGCTGGATTTCTGCTCATCCTTTTGGTATGTGGGAGAAAAACCCTTGTAGTCCAAAGCAGTCTCTTGAGCCTTCTCTAAGTTACAGCATTGAGGCCATTATTTAGAATAGGAAATTTTAAGACATAAACACTTATTTTGGGAGACTGTTGTATACGTTCTGTGTACCCCAAGAGTGGAGGGCCAGGTCTGAGGGTGCACACAGGAAAAGTGTTATTCCGGTCTACCTCTGTTCCTATTCTTAACAATTCACTACTGGCCACTGTTCTTGCTGGATTTTCCATTAAGATCAAAACTCAATAAAATGAGGACACTGGACTAAATAGACATTTTGGTCACCCTCTGACAATGCTCCTTTTCTTCCTCCTCTGTAGCTCAAATATTTTGTCCATGCTATGTATGAAACTACTGAAAAACTACCATGCATCCTTTGCATATTTTCAGAATTTTTGTTGCCAATTTTTGTTGTGTATCCACCTGAGTTTATAACAAGAGAATTGCTTATGCACCTTGTACAGCAGTTACCATTAGGTGTAGGTGCAAATACTAATTAAGCTTTACCTTATTGTACTTGAAGAGCAAATTATAAACTCCTATATAATTAACTGAGAACTAGAGTATTAATTCAATTCTCAGCCTTGTTGTTGCTGTTTTTCTTCTGTGTGTTGCATGCTAAGTAAAATAAAACAAAAAATACTGTGGTACAGAGGCAAACAAAATAAATATGTGGGGTTGTACTGTGTTCTGAGTTAGGTTTTCTGGATGGTTGATTTGCTTATTTTGATTTCTAGGATGTTTTGCAGTTTTGGAGAGCATAGACAGAAATTTACTGGAGGAGCAAAGTCATTCACAGCCATTTTATTGCTTGATGTAACTTTCCTCATAATGTACACTTGATTTTTATTTTCTCTGAAATAAATGTACTCTTTCTCTTTCAAGGAGTGCAATACTCTGGTAATAGTTTACTCTTAGTAAAATTCATTAATTCAGTAATAAATTGGAGGACCGCTTATGACCGTGTTCACAATGTACTGCTTAGGTTTTTTCTCTTAGTCTTTGTATGCATGGTAAATATTAACAATATTTTGCAATAATTTTTGTGTATTAATGAAGTAAAAAAGCAGTAGAATACTTGTAGCACACAAGTGGGATTGATCCTAAATGCTGCAGAAAAGTGAAAATTGGCCTCTCTTCCTAAAGATTGCATCACATTCTGTTGGTGTGGAGTGGATTCCTCCCCAGGAAAAGTTAGGAAGTGTTTTCTAGAACTAAGCTCATTCAATCACATATGTTAGAATACAGCTGAAGTTTCTGTAGAGGGGTTCTTACTGGATAAAGAATTGGACAGAAGTCTTATTTGTAAATACACATATAAATCATGCAACCTGTATATGGATGAGAACAGGAATGAGTCCCTTGAAGAAGCTGATACAGATAAGCCAGGGTAGGAGACTGCATAGGAGCAGATGCTTCAGTGTAACCTCAAGAATAGATGCTTTTAAGAACAACAAAGGAAACAACAGATGATGTGTTTATAGGAGAAGCTTTTCAAGGTCACTTACTTATGCTGTATAGGGAAGGAGCAAATGACATCCTATTCTGTGAAATTGACAGAAATTGCAGAAGAGATGCAAAAGGACTGCTAAAATCCCCAAATACCTGATAAATAAACTTTGTAATTCATTTGCAGTGTGGAGAGGAAGATGCAAGGAAAAGCATACTTGTCTCATTTAGGCCTTTTCATCTCTATGTGGTTGTGAGTTTGAGTCATCAGATGAGGAGGAATAAAAAGTAGCAGTAATATCTTCCCCATGAAAAGGCAAAGACATCAAAAGATGCTGATGCAGAGAAGTCAAAGGCAAATTCAGGTGTACAGCTGTCTTGCCATGTTCTGCTGATATGCTGCCAAGTATTAATTATCATTGCAATGGCAGATAAAGTCTCACAAAGGTGTGCCACTTGGAGCAATCCCAGATGCAGAATCATGATGCAACTCTTCATCCATTCTCTCAAACCATTTATCTAACCTTTACTTTGTGGGACTAACCAAGTGAAAGAAATGTAAATTATTGGTTTTCCCCACTGTTTTTTAGATGTTCATGGCACTGATGTGAAAACCAGGGATGACAAAAAAAATCTGCTGCCCTGACAGGATACTGAAATCATGAAGTCAAGTTGTTTGGGATGACTGTCACTGCACCTCAAGTAGAGGCTCGGACTCGTGATGCAGAGACACTCAAAAATGCAAACAATTTCACAAAATTGTTAAGCCTCACATCTGCTAAATCACATATTCACAGCATTTTTTAATTATTAAGCGAAGGTGATGAAGTTGCACTTTAACTTGGTCAAGTTTGGTTTCTGCTGTTTCCATAGGGATATCTTCCTCAGTAAGCCTGTTCCAGAGTTAGGCTATCACAACAGCAGCCTCCTGTTTCATCATGAGTACAACTTCTTAACTATAACAAAGGCTCCTCAAAACTTCAAGGACTCACTGAAATAAGGAGTAATGATGAGTACTCTTGATGTAGCTTTGTCCCTCTCCAGAAGATCTGGAAAACAAAAGCTGTGACTGATAGAATACTTCTGTCCAACTAAAACCTTAAAAAGCAGCATCTGTTCAGCTCACAGTTGTTGTATGTATTAAATCTTGTGTGCTAGGTTAGAAACACAGTGGATATTTGTATTTTGCACTTTCATAAATTTCCCCTCACAGTTTCAAAAATAAATTACTGAGGATGGGAGCATTAGTTTAGCCCTTGCACTGAAGCAAAGGCTTTGATCCTTGCACAAGCTTTCCCTCCAGTTTGGTTTAAAAAGAATTAGTGAGGTTTTCATTCACAAAATTATTTATTTAGTGTTAAAGCAGTGGCACAGTAAAATTGTTTATGCATTTGGATTGTGATTGTAGGATGTTGGTTAGAAAGAAGCTGTTTTACTGCAGTGGGAGGCATTTGGGGGAATTGAGAAGTACATGGTAGGATGTGCTGTGAAATGTACATCTACAGCTCAAACTAGCTGGCAACTAAGAAATTTTAAAGAAGTGTAGGTACAGAAGTGAGAAGCAGTGTTCCTTTTTGGCTATACAGCCCACTCTTGGGAGTAGGGTGGCCTCTCTCCCTTTCTCTGTTCTTGATTAGGCACTCAGTCCTCACAGCTGCACAATGTCATTTTAGTGCTGCAGAGAGAACAAGAATACCTCTTTCTTTCCTTCTTTTCCCCACACACCTCTTATCATTCTACTCCCATGTTCCTTAGCATGTGGCCATCTGTGTCTGTTATTACATTGCTAATCCATATAGTAAATCTTTTCCTTACAATTTTTTTTTCCTTCTCTAGGTAGGTTACTGCAGAATTACTGGACATGGTCACTTTTTATTTGGAATTAGGATCTACAGTACTTGTCATAATTTCCTTTTTGTTTTCATTCCTCCTGCCTCAAAATTGGTTTATAAGAAAAAGAAGTTATCTGAAGGTGGTTGCTGATTTCCCCAGAGCAATTGCACTTCAATAAACTTTTAGTTAAGAAATCAAGAGTGCAGTTGAATGCCACTCTACATCCTGAATAAGACTTGATTACAAGAATTCAGTTGTGGTTCACATGGAAAAAAAAAAAGGGAAAAAATAGAAAAAATAATTGCAAGGGTATTCTCAATTGTTTCTTAATGATAAAAACCTTGGGAATGCTTAACAGGAATATGCTCATTTTGGTAAGTTTAGCATGCCATAAATCTGTTTTGTTTTTTTTTTTTTTTTTGCCTCTTGATGGATTTATGTGAATGTCTGAGAGATGCTCTTAGTGAATTGGAATGAAGAGTGGGCACCAAATGAAATTTAGCATGTTGATGTGACTAATAGAGTATATTAAGTTCAGCTCTGTTAAAATTATTTTGTGTACCTGTTTTAAGGCTGGGCAAAGATTGTGCTCCCCTACTACTGTTCTTTGAAAAAGCATGTTTTAAATGAAAAAATCCCCAGAAATTAGAATT